CTCTCACCCGGCTGCCTCTCTGGACCAACCCTTTAATGTTGAACCCCTTCTTTTGACTGTCCCTGCAATTTCAGCTGACTCTAATTCAGACTGTCTGGCAGGAAGTGGAGTGACAACTAAATGTGAGGAAGAGAACAAGAGCTGTCATGTTAGCCACWGTCCAACTGAAAATGAGAGTATGGAGACATCAGTCAGTCAGGAGCATGAGCAGGAAAAGAAGAAAGAGAGCAGTTCTATTAGCCACGGCGTGACTCAGAATGATGGGATAGAGACATCAATCAATCAAAAACATGAGGCGCAGGATGCAGAGAAAAAGACAGGTCCTGATAGCCACAATCTGACTGAAAATCAGAGTATGGAGACATCAGTCAGTCAGGAACAAGATGGGCAGGATAAGAAGAAAGAGAGTAGTCCTTTTAGCCATGGTCTGACTCAGAACGATCAGAGGGAGACACCAGTCAGTCAAATACAGAAGGCACAGAATGAAGAGAAAAAGACAGGTCCTGTCAGCCCCAATCCGACTGAAAATGAGAGTATGGAGACATCMGTCCATCAGGAACAGGATGAGCAGGAAAAGAAGAAAGAGAGCAGTTGTCTTAGCCATGGTCTGACTCAGAAYGATGGGATAGAGACATCAGTGAATCAAAAACATGAGGCACAGGATGCAGAGAAAAAGACAGGTCCTGACAGCCACGATCTGACTGAAAATGAGAGAACGAAGGCAGCAGACAGTCAGGAAAAAGATGGGCAGGATKCAGAGAAAAAGAGCAGTCCTGTTAGCCACAGTCCAACCCGCATCGACAGGGTGGAGCCATCAGACATTCAGGAACGGGAGGCGCACTCTGAGGAGAAGCTGGGAGCGACAGGCGCAGAAGCAGCAGCAGGTTAGATTTGGTCTTTGAGTTGAAACTTTGGCAAAATTAAAAGAAATGAGCCTCATGCAAGAACATGTTCCTGTTCTTATCCTAAATTTATTTTACTTTTGTTCATACGAACATGCYACGWCAGATTCAACAAACTCTTCTATCTTCATGAAAAGTGTGTAAATAAGCTGCGTAAACTGATGAATGTGTATTAGCAGATCGTGCACAGGTAGAGGGGATTAGCATAATCTACCACCCCAAAAACACCATATAAGGCTACATTTCCTGCCCCACACACCAGTAACTGTTTCATTAAAATGACAGGGAAAAGTAAAAAAGAACTTCATGAGTTTAGAGATTGAAGACCTGCTCTCAGATATCCAGAAAAGAAAATCTGYCATTTTTAGCAGGTCAGCTGTGGAATTAAAGGAGCTGCTGAAGCTGAGGAATGAAATGACGACTGCTGTTAATGTTGTGTCTCCTGTGGGTCGTTACAGTCACAGAAATAAAATTTAAACCATATTTATCTCTCTCTAGTCCTGCTCTGGTTTTTATTTGGTGAAATAGTTTTAATTCAGGTGTAAACAACTGTGTTACTTTTCATTTTAGAAGAGCCACAGACCAATGTGTCTGTCACTGGAGAAAATCGTATAGCTTATGTGTTGAATAAATCTCAACAAAATAAACTTTGATTAAAAAATAACAATCTGTCTGAATAAAGCTCATATATACCGAGACTAATTAAACTTCGATTAATGCGTAATTTAAGTTGATTTGTAGTTTGAGATCTTCATATTAATATTGTAGTGTTATACAACAGCATTAATAGCCAATTTAACCAATTTATATCGTTAGTGTACATTATTAAATTTAAAATTATAATTCTAATTCAAACAGAATAGCCTATTGTCAACATACACTCACCGGCCACTTTATTAGGTACACCACGCTAGTAACGGTTTTGTGGTCATAAAGGGATGGACATGGTC